TTGTGATAAATTCATATGCGGAATACGTATTCGCCACAAGTATTTCTTCAGGAAATAGTCTATCGATTAACTCTTGAGGAACCGATGAAGGCCAGAAATGTAAGGATTCATCACAAACATAAAGGTATAGAGGCTCATTTTCTTTTTGATTTTCTCCCTGTAAATATCGGTACATGAATCTTTTTAATACCAAAGCGCAGGCTTCAGCTGGAAGAAGATCTTGCGGAGCAGGTACTGCATAATCAACATTATCCATCAATTCATTTTCCATTTCCCGTGATAGCTTGGCTTTGTACTTGTCATGAATATATCTCACAGATGTATTTGCTACTTGTTCTTCAATTAGTTCATATAATCCAACTAAATGTTTAAGTTTTAGATCTGCATTCAATATGTTCTTGAATCTGTCATTTTCTGAAATTTCTGAAAGGGATGCCCATTTGGAAATATATTCTTTGATTTCTATTTCTCCGCCTCCACCAGGAGTACGTTTTATAAAGCACAGAAGAATTTCTAAGGCTGAAAGTATGTCAGATGGGTTGTCTAACGAAGTATCCATTTGATTTGTCATAAATTCATATGGACTTGCTGAAGATCCTTTGATCATCAAAGCCCTCTCAGTAGGAATTGGTTCTTGTGGTATTAAGTTTCTTATGTCACCTAAGATTCTCATGGAAGATTGGAATAGTTCCATGTGATATGGAAAGCATTCCATGTATGAAGACTCATTTAATGCTTCTATATGAACTTTTTCGGAGACCAAACACCTAGAAAGCTCGATTTCAATCTTTTGTAAATCATATATGATATCTTGACCGCGTCCAACCCCTAAATTTCTTTCACTAAACTCGAGGATTCCGTCATAATCGTCATCCCACACATAAGATATGATGTTATCTTTTCTTGCTTGTTCGGCAGTCATCGATTGAACATAATAACGGGCAGGGGTATTTCCGGATTCGCTTTTTAAGGACTCTTCTAAAAACTTGAGAGATCTACATGTTCCAGGAGGAATTAACATAACTTCTTGTAAAAATTCGTTCTGCAAGGAAACCAAATGTTCGATAATTGCGCAAAGATAAACCCCATCATCTTTTGGCTCTACCAATCCCATGATAAGTCGACGGTCCATGCTCATTTTTGGTTTTTCTTTCAAATCGTGGCATTGATATCTGTCCACACCTTCAATTACAGCATTCCACGCCTCTTCAAATTTTTTGAAAGCATCGATCATTGTATTTACCGAATCATCGTTTGATAATTTATCAAAGAATTCGCGGAACGACTGAGTCTGTGCTTCTTTTCTACTTAACCGATATGAGAGCCGTGAGGACAAGAACTGAACAAATTTAACAATTGGCCATAGGTGTTTAATCCTTGGTAATTTTCTTTCGTGTTTAAAGTACACGGAGAGGAATGGGAAGTCTTTCTGATTTTGTGATAAATT